CTGTGGGTGGCTGGAAGGGATGGGGGTGGGGGTTTGGGGTAACTGGGTGATGGGCATGAAGGAGGGCACAGGATGGGATGAGCGCTGGGTGTTGTATGCGACGAATGAATCACTAACCTCTACATCGGAAGCTAATTTAAAAAAAAGACATAAAAAGACTGAGTAACAGGCTATGGAGTAAGGGCACAGTTTGAACGCCAGTCTGTGGTTTAGGAAGCTCCGTTCCAGGTAAGAAGTTTAACAGTGAGGAATTAGAGTCCCGCTTTGGGAGGAAATGACACCACCCCCAGGTGGAGCCATCCCAGTGGCAGGTGAAGCCCAGGTAGGGCTCCGGGGAAAGACTGGGGCCCGTGTTCGGGGAGGAACTTTTGTGAGGCTGTAAGTTGAAGTTACAGGAGGAGAGATTCCTGTCCTGGGGTAATAAGTGGCCAGCAATGAGAGATGAGGACTCAGAGCAGGGCCTGAGTGAATGGGTAGATTCCAGAGGGGAAAAGGAAGAGACCTAGCAAAGAAGAGGAAGTAATCCAAAAGTACAGGGAGAAAAAGCAAAGTGCAGAGACTCCCAAGCCAAGGAAAGAAGGATCTGTCCAAGACAATGCCAGAGAGGGTCAGTGGCACCGTGACCCCATGGTGGATGTTAGTAGTCACCGCTGAGAGCCCAGGGCAGGGGATCAAAGTCAAGGTCAAGCTTAAACAATAAGGTGGATGGTAAAGAGCAGAGAGATGTTTGGGGAGTTGATCTATTCCAGCGGGTAGACAAGTTCACAGGGTGAGGGAAAAGATTTGTACAAAAGGAGACATGACAGGAAAGCCAGAAGGGTGGAAATCACAGGGGAAGGCATAAGCTTACGCACGGAGGGGCTGAGCCAACTCACTGGCTTTTCCACACTAATTTGCTGTTAGAACAAAGAGATGCATTCCAGCGTCAGGCATCTAGAGATGTCTGTGGGGATCAGCGAAGATCCTTTCAGGCCCGAGGGACAGGGTGGTGGGGTGGAAACGTTATTATAGACATGACAGAACCAACAGAACCAGCCTCATGTCTCACAACACATTCTCTGACAGGGAGGCAAATCCCTTTCCCAGTGTCATGTCTGGTGACAGGGCGCCATGAAGGCTGGTGGACTGGAGTTACACAGACCCGTGACGGTAAGTGACTGCAGGCCGATGCGTCGACCATCTCTACCTGGAAGGTAGCCATGACGACCAAAGGAAGAACAGGTGCACAGCGTCTGTTAAATGTCAGACCCACACACGCTGGTTGTCCATGAAGCTACCATGGGGCCATTCGTAAGGAGAACATACCGGGTGGGGCAAAGCCGTCCTTCATGTTACTCCCAAAACAAAACAGCATTCCATATTTAAAGGTCCTGCTAAAATTATTTCAAGTCTTGTAGGACCAAAAAAACAGAAAAAAAAAAAATCTGACACTCAAGTTGAATTATAAAATTAAAAGGCTGTATTTCCAAGCATAAAAAAACATGAAGCAAGATTGCTATTCCAAGACGGAACTTAATATGGAAAAACACAAACATGTTTGAGTCCTTCCCCAGAGCAGTAGGCATGAAAACCTTGGAAACAATTTGCCTGTTTGGAAATAGTCAGGAGTCCGTTGATGCAGCCGCACTCACAAGAGCCCACTCGAGGCTGCCGTTCTCCCAGGAAATACAGGATAGAGGAATAATTTCCACAAAACTACATCCAAATGGGGGTGATGGGGGAAAGAAGCCCCCAGGGAAAAAATGTTCAAAGAGCAATAAAATTCTAACATGTCTTGAGCTTCTTGGAAACTATGCCAAATTCAAGCATTGCTAGGATTTTGGTAGGATTTAATCCCCAGCTTTCTGGTCTAGATTTTATGTTTTCCTTTCCACTCTCAGATAGATCACATGGAGGCACTAATCAAGGAGTTATGTGAATACCTAACTGGAAATTTCAAGATTCAGGACCATGTGAATCTTCGAGGCTGGCTGCCTAACCAAAACTTAATTTAAAATGCTTTGTTATTTTGGGAAGAAATTTAACAAACAGCTATTTCAGTGACCAGTTTGCAATGTCCGTCAGCATTCCCGAAGTTGTAATGAAACACTTGTGGCTTTTCGGTCAAGAGCTCTGCCCTCAGACCAAGAGCAGGTGTAAGCCAAGCTCCTCACGCTCTCCCCGGCCAGGACCCACCCCCCCGCCCCCGTCCCTGCAGAGGTGGGACCACCGGCCCGTGGGCAACCTCTCTGTTCTCCAGTTTCTTCATCTGGAAAATCAGGGTGCTGGGCTAGACCCTCGGTTTCTGAGCTTCACTTTACTGAATCTTCACTGTTGCATGGAAATCGGAGACCTTGCTAGAGGAAAGGAGACAGGGGACCACATGGGAGGGAGGGAGGCGAGGCTCTGCGGCCCCATTTCCCACTTCCGGAGGGTGCTTCTTCTGTCATCGGCTTTACCATTTGGCTTTCCAAAAGGGATTTTGTTTAAAGGATATAGTAGTTCACAAACGTTGGAAAACTTGCAGACCGTAGGCTATGTAGACTTCTGCCACATTGAACATTTTAAGACACTCTTCCTGGGTGATACCTTTGTAATTCCTGGCCCAGCCCCAGACGGTTACATGCTCTCGAGCTAACGCGGGGACCCTTGCTTCCCACTGCTCAGTGGAGCAGGGTGCATCCTCTTGACACAGGCCAGATTCCCCAAAAGTCAGGATGTGTCTGCTACCCCTTGACTTTAAAACACAAGCTCTAATGTAAAGAGTTTCTTGCAGGATTTCCCTTGCCTGCACTGAAGTCAGTTCAGTTGCTGGGGTTCTGTGGTCCCAGCCCCGCCCTCCTCCATCTAATGCCCGTGAGGAGAGGATTTCAACTTCATGAGAATTTCTTCTAATTCCTCTTACTGTCTTGAACTCACCAATCACTCCACTTAGATGAGGAAGTTGTGGTTAGATAATTAGGGAGAAAATGAGCTCTTTCACATCAATCCAAAATACATTGAAGCAATGTTTATACACAAGATGTTGTTCTTTGTGTGACAAGGAAAACAGAAGTCGGGAAGGTGAGAAAGCCAACCTGACAGGTGGGAAAGGCGGGAGCCCCATCAGGTCCTGAAGGGGGAGAATAGAGGCAAGTAGTTCTCAACTTTACGTCTCATCAAACACTTTCCAGGAAGGAGGGTGGGGCGTGAGTAGAGGAAGCCACAGATTTAGATCATCTTTTCTCACCAAGGGTAGAAAGGACACCCCCACAAGACACTTTAATATAGAACATGGATACATAAATGAACATTTTTCATTACATAGCCATGTATTTATTTTAATATGCATAGAAAAATAATAACCCATGAAACCATGATTTTACAGATAAGATAGCCTATAATGAGGCAAAACTTGGGGCACCTGGGTGGCTCAGTTGGTTATGCATCCGCCTTCAGCTCAGGTCATGATCTCAGGGTCCTGGGATCGAGCCCGGCATCGGGCACCCTGCTCAGCGGGAGGCCTGCTTCTCCCTCTCCCTCTGCTGCTCCCCCTGCTTGTGCTTGCTCTCTCTGTCAAATAAATAAATAAAATCTTTTTAAAAAATAAGACAGCAGACTCCCAGTAAGGCAATAAGACTTGGTCTGCCGCAAGCCCCTGCCTCCCCTGGTACATTCTGATGGGTTTCAGAGAAGGATCTGACATGTCCCATGATGCCAACGGGCAGTGTCTACACCGGGTGTGAGTTATCACATACCCCACCTGTGGATGGGGGTTTCTCAGTCAAGGTTCTCACCCCTGGGCCTGAATAAAAGTTGAGAGAAACCGTGGGACCCTGAAGGTGTCCCAGGACACTTAGCAAAGGCAGAAGGGAGCTCCTCTGAAGCCGGGATGGCCGCCCCACGGCCCCTGCAGGGCGACAAGCTTTGGCAGTGTGAGTGCTGAACAACCACCTGCACAGCTCCGGGTCAGCAGCCCTGCCCCTGCCCTGGGTCGGGAGCGGGGTGCACCCTGGAGCGCCTCACGGCCAGCAGGATCAAGGAGCAAAGCCTACTTTCCCAAATGCTCATGGAGTAGTCTAGAACCCTTGTCAAATAGGATGGAAATGAATTGGAGGAAACAACAGTCTTGTGCCTCCTTCACACACTTCCTGTTTGGTATTAATCACAAGGTTGCGACACCAAGTGAATCTAAATAATCTGCAGATGTCACCATTTCTGATAATTGCTGGAGCTGTTCATCGCTAATCAAAGAGCATATTATGAAACCTGAGTCAGCCAGCATCCGCTTTCTGGAAGGGTGGACCTGTATATAAAGAGGGAGCGTCCTAGCTGATGTGCTGGGGTGGCCGGTGGGGAGCGTCCAGGTCCTTCAGCAGAGAAGGAAAGCGAAGCCAGCATGCCCAGCCTTCCCGTTCTGCTAGTGCTGGTCTGGGGTGTGGGGTCCCATGGCTTCCCTGCAGCGACCTCAGGAACGCGAGAGCAGGACGTGGAGGTGGTCTAGGTAAACGCCTAATTTCACGCGCCACAAATGCAGGAGGCTTTATTTGCATTTTTGCTCAGTCGTACGGAGCAGTAGTCGTAGCATAAAGCGGTTTATTGAAGGGGGGACTTCTCACAAAGACAAATGTTTGGTAGAAAGGACCCTTTCCCCAAAGCTGTACCCAGCTACGCACGGGTTCTTCCCTTCCCTTTTCCAGCTGGAGGTGAGTGAGAACTAAAGGAAGAACATGCAAATGTGACTCTACGAATTGTAAGTCAGACAGCATACTAACTGGTAGTAGGGAGATTTCTACCCTGCAATTAGTCTCCACCAATAATTTCCACCAGGAAATCCCGACACGATCTTTAAAAGTAGTTCTCCACTCCAGCTAAAGCTTCTGATTGTCAGTCTTTAGGAAAGAGAAAGATCTCCCGTCCAGTGTTTCAGTAATTTTGTCTTTCATCAGAACTACCTGGAAAACTACTACAACCTGAAGAGTGACGGGAAGCAAATCGTAAGGCAGAGGAACAGCAGCTTGGTGACTGAGAAGCTGAAGCAAATGCAGGAGTTCTTTGGGCTGAAGGTGACCAGGAAGATAGATGCTGACACCCTGAATCTGATGAAGCAGCCCAGATGCGGGGTGCCCGACGTGGCTCAGTATGCCGTCGCTGATAGGACCCTCAGATGGGAGCACACGCACCTGACCTACAGGTAACCAGACCCAGCACCAGAGCAAGGGCGCTCTTTCCCAGCGGAGCCGTAAGCAATGGGGTCCGACGTGTCTCTGTTTTTTTCCATTGTAAGGATTGAAAATTACACACCAGATTTGCCAAGAGCAGACGTGGACAGTGCCATTGAGAAAGCCTTTCAACTCTGGAGTAATGTGTCGCCCCTGACCTTCACCAAGGTCTCTGAGGGGCAAGCGGACATAATGATATCCTTTGTCTGGAGAGATAAGCTCTTCTTGTCCCACAGCAGCATTCTCACTTTCAGTTCGACTTGCCTCTAAATCCCTTCATCTTTCAGCTGGAAGAACTTGTTTAAGACGAGTGTTGATTTTACAGGCTTAAGGAGGGAAACTACATCACAGTTGATGGAAGTCTGTTGGCCTCCCAGCAAAGCCAATGCTTTCTCTCCTGGGTTAGCCTCAGTCGGAACCAAGAGGGACATTTCCTGAATTCTGTTTCTGGCAGATCACTACGACAATTCTCCCTTTGATGGACCCAACGGAAACCTCGCTCATGCTTTCCTACCAGGCCCAAATCTTGGAGGGGATGCTCATTTTGATGAAGATGAAAGATGGAACAACGATTACAGAAGTGAGTCAACTCATCTTGTCTCATTTCCCCACCCTTTCTTGCTTCACTGTAATATTGTTTGGCTTAGCTGAAAGAATGCATCCATAGAAGTACGTATTTTTCTACTGCCACTTATAAAATTAATGCTACACTTAGAAAACTGGAAGAGAAGGGTTATTTCTGTTAGTAATAACATCTTGTTGGCTGCAAATAGGCTGCTCCAAAGTTTCTATTAAGAAAATGTTGAAAATCTTAATGTTTTTCTTGTGGGCATCTACATAGAATTATTTTTTTATTAGAAGGACACACCAAAATTTAACAGTGTCAGTAAGGTTATGTGAAAATTAAGGGAGGAGAGATTGTGTTTTCCAAAATTCCCAGCATAGGCATGTGTCAGTTTGTAGAGAGGAAGAAGAAAATTGTTGATAGGACTCCACTGCTTCTCCGTGAACTAACACGTACGTAACCACTGACAAGACTGACCGATCTGTGCTGGACTCAGAGTTGGATGAGCTTGCTTTTTCACTGTGTCAGTGTGAACACAGAGCTTGGGCTGTAGCCTGTGTCTTCACCATTAGAAAAGCCTCCCGTCCTCCCAGCTTGGGGAAGACGCTTTATGGCTATTTCAAAAAGCTGCCGGCAAAATGCGAGCACTGGTCTTTGTAAAGTTGTAGATTCCTTCTTAATGACATGTCTCAAAACTGAGAACACTGCAAGTAATCGCTAACGCGTTTATCGGACCCTTTAGATTACAATCTGTACCATGTGGCGGCTCATGAGTTGGGTCATTCCCTTGGACTTTCTCATTCTACTGATATCGGGGCTCTGATGTACCCCAACTACATGTACGATGGTCACGTCCAACTCTCCCAGGACGACATCAATGCCATCCAGGCCATATACGGTGAGTGTACAGAAAACTAGGGACGAGGGGCCATTAGAACAGCCATTCGCTGTCGCCTTTAAGAAGCTGTCCAACACACGGCAGAACTAACTCCAGATCTCTTTTTTCTTTCAGGACCTTCCCCAAATCCTGTCCAGCCAACAGGCCCCCAAACACCACGAGTGTGTGATAGTAACTTAATCTTTGATTCTATCACTACAGTTCGGAGCGAAGTGATGTTCTTTAAAGATAGGTAGAACATCAGTTCCTCTTTGTGTTTTGTGTTTGTAATAATAATAGCACTCACGACTGTGGGTGCCTATGGGCCACTACTGGGCACACACACTGTTTATCTTGCACTTGCTTGCATACATAATTAGGATTAAATGCGAGCAATTGCATGCATTTGCACAATGTGATGAACCTATAACAGCCTTTTCCCCCACATGTACTCTGTTGTTTGGTTCTCGGAAAAAAAACCATTGAAGTAGAAAATTCAGTTAATAGAATCCCATTTTACAGATCAGTAAAGTAAGGCAGGGAGAAGTAAAGAGATCCTTTCAGGGCACAGAGTTCTCTGGTGACAGAGCAGTAACTGATCTTCTGATTCCCACTCCCGAGCTCTCTTCATTAATGCCGCTCCTCATGATGAAACATGAATGAAGGAGTATTAGTAAGTCATCGGGAGAAGCCCGCCCTTCCCGTAGCACCATCATGCTGAGCAGGGCTGTAGCCACTCTATCCTAGTAAAGATGCCCCCCACCCCAAGCCTGTGATCTGCAGAGACCTAGACAAGGGGAGGAGCCATCATGGGGAAAACCCCCACGAGCTCAGGAGGACCCTCCCTTGAGCAGATATGGGTGGTCACCACATGCATCTCTCCTCACAGGAGGGTCCTGGTGCCCCCTCTGCAGCATGTGGCCTCAAGGACACTAGGGTCCCCTCACATGCAAGACACAGGCCTGTGGTCTGTACCACCCTGATTTCTAAAGGACCATGCAGAAGAAGAATACAGCCTTCTTCTGAATGATGCCACCCACAGAACGATCAGCACGGAGGAAGGGCCAGGGCCGTCAGCACAGAGAAAGGAGGGGGGCTCCGATGGGCTCACTTCTTAGCTGCTGCTCCTGGCGGCTTGTCCATACTGTTTCATCACTCTGTCTGTGGTCATATCCTTCCTAGAACGGAGCGTATGGGCTCCAGATGCTTTCCGTCCCTACCAGGGCAAGGCTGGAGCAGGCGTACGGGCTGTGGCTCAAAGCGGGGCAGCCCTAAGGAAATAGCTGGCTTGAAAGGAAAGCTCTCAATCGAGCAGGACGCACCTATCAAAGCAAGTGTTTGAGGGATTTCTCCAAGGAACAGACCCAAGTCTAGGATTCGCAGGAACTGAAAGGACGCTGAGCTCACTCACGTGTGACCAAGTCATGAAGCCATGGGAGGCTAGAGACAGTAGCAGACTTGCCCAGGGTCTCAGCCAGCAGAGGGGGATTGGAGCTGCCCGTCAGGCTTCCGACGGCGGGGGCCGCATTCTCCCCTGGGGACTGAAAAACCAACCCAAGGACGAGGAACCGAGCGGCTGCCCCCTCGGAGTCTAAAATTAACCTTTGCCTCTCTCTTATCAGATATGTGGCCATAAACAGCTCCCTTCCCCTCCCTGACCTCGATCTCTCATCCGTGCGACGAGAGTACCAGGCTCTTGTAGGGTGTTTGCAAGGTGCGGGGACAGGGCCTGCTGCCACCGTGCATGCTGGGTGTTGGGGACCAGCAGTGGGTTCCGGCCACTGGCTCCAAATGGCTCCACCAAACCAGCAGTTAGATAGTGAGAATTTGTGCACAACGGATCCCTTCGTCACCATTCTGCTACGTGTGACTGTTTATGTTCTGGAGCTTGCTTCGGCCTAATGGGCTTGTTAAAGGTCAGCCCACCCTTGCATCCAGGAGAGCAAAACCTTTTCCATGTTTTTTCCAAATCAGGTTCTACATGCGCCTAAGTCCCTTCTACCCAGAAGTTGAGCTCAATTTCATTTCTACTTTCTGGCCAAACCTGCCAAGTGGACTTCAGGCTGCTTATGAATTTGCTGAGAGAGACGAAGTCCGGTTTTTCAAAGGTAACTCTTCCCGCTATTGTTCCGTTTCCATGAATCCATCTGCTTTGAGGCTGAGCTATAAGCAAGTCCTGGCCACGTTCTCTCCGTGACCTACGGAAAATTTGACAATCTCACTTACCACACCGATGGGAGTCCATTACCTCAACTAAGCTTTACCTAGTGCATTTCTGAGTCATTGTAAATAAAAAGTGTATCTATGGGTGTTCTGCCAGAACCTCGACTTAGGAAAGCATTTTCTGTGGAAACTACTTACGTACCCACCCTGGGGATGCTCAGGAACAAAAGGGGGAGACTGGGGCCCACAGGCTAGAGCAGACGACACAGAAACATTGAAGTATCCAGATTTCCTAGAGACCTATTTTAATACCGATGGGTCTTCTGAGGGAGGGAGAGGCTGCTCTGGGAGCCAACTATCAAAGTATGGTCCTCAGACCAGCAGCATTGACATCCCCCAGGGAGTCTGTTAGAAACAGACTCTCACTAGCATAATGTCCTCAAGGCCCATCCACGAGATTGGCTCCCACTCCAGACCTTCTGGAATTCTTTTTCTTTTTTTAAGATTTTTTTTATTTATTCATTTGAGACAGAGAGATACAGAGAGAGAGAGCATGAGCAGGGGGAGGTGCAGAGGGAGAGGGAGAAGCAGGCTCTCCGCTGAGCAGGGAGCCAGATGTGGGACTCGATCCCAGGACTCTGGGATCATGACCTGAGCCAAAGGCAGATGCTTAATGACTGAGCCACCCAGGCGACCCTCCCTAGATGGTTCTGATGTGCAGCCAGGACACGGCTCTCGCATGGGAAGCTGAGAACTTGGCCGAAATCAGCTCACTATCGTCCGGTACCCCAGACAAGTACTTTCATCCTTTTTTTTTGATCGTCAGGTGATAAGTACTGGGCTGTTCAGGGGCAGGAAATGCTGTTCGGATACCCCAAGGACATCTACAGATCCTTTGGCTTCCCTCAAACCGTGAAGAATATCGATGCTGCGGTTTCTGATGAGGAAACTGGGAAAACATACTTCTTTGTTGCTAACAAGTACTGGAGGTAAAGACTGAGTACAGAACATGTTCGTGCACCACCTCTTTCCACCTAGAGAGGACATTCGAGATTGAACCATTTCCACATGAGTCTCATACTGCCATGGCTAGCTGCCATCGCTGTGAGTGGCTGTGGCCGGTCTAGCAGCCAAGTCCGTGGTTGGTGATCATCATGCAGTAATGCATGGGAATGCAGTGGGAATGCAGGGAACACGTGGGGCTGAAGTTGGAAGAGGACAGCTAAGAAGGAGGGCATTTACCTTCACAGATCCCCTTGTGCCAGTTTACCTCAGTAGGACACTATGCGGCACCTCCTGGAGAATTAGAATTAGTTGTTGGCATTGAGAGGGACCTTAAAAATCTCCTATTCACCTAACATCCTACCTCCCCCTCCCCCATGCTACACAAGATCTATGGAGTTAAAAGTTCTTATAAGAGTCCTGCAGCCAAAGTCCCTGTAATGACTTTGAGAAGTCTACACATTTAACACGTTCTGACACTTACAATTATTTTTTGATCAGGTATGATGAATATAAACAATCCATGGATGCAGGTTATCCCAGAATGATAGCAGCTGACTTTCCTGGGATTGGCCATAAAGTTGATGCTGTTTTCCAGAAATATGGTAAGTGAATATATATATATATATTTCCTCTATTTTTTTGTCATAGAATAGTGTCAGTGTTGTTATTTGGAACAGCAATTGCCAAAAATATTTGTTCTCACAAATGGCAGGGTTTTTCAAGAATTCAGGTTAAACCCAGAAATCATCTGTATAATGTAGTAAGTCTTTTTTGTTTATTTCTAGGATTTTTCTATATCGTTCATGGAACAACACAATACCAATTTGATCTTCAAACTAAGAGAATTCTGAGTATCGACAAAGCTAATAGTTGGTTCAGCTGCTGAAGGAATTGACCAACTGTTGCAACAGGAAAATACATTTCAAGAGCCCAAGGACGATGTCTTCCTGAAGAGCCATTTGTTTAAATAGAATACAGAGCTATCAAGTGTAATCGTACTTACACCTCATTCTGCGCCTATTTTTTTATGCTTGAGAATGCAATGTGTTATGTATTGCTGTAATTTAGTTCCACAGCTGAGGACTAAGAAAGGTCAGGCTCATGGCTTGTGGATTCAAATGGGCCAGTTTTGCAAAGAAAAAAAGCTTTTCCAAAGTATGAGACCCTGACGTTGATCCTGGAGTGCAGCTCTTCAAGAGAGGAGACCAGAGATCCGAGTCTTCACCAGAGCAAAAACAGTTCACAAACATATAAGCAGCCACTAGACTGTCCTAACATGCAAGGAACAACTTTTATTACAGAAAATAAAGTGCTGGTGTTTCAAATAAAACCATCCATGTCTCTACTGTTTTATAAACTTTTTAGTATATTTATTACATGATTATTTCCTGATGATAACACCATACTTCCAGAGATTAGTTTTCAAATTTGAAGTGGGAATAGACAAATATGCAAAACATTCATGTGGGAGGCTAGGATACAGAAAAAGTTGGAATATTCCCCCACTTTCATGGCATTTACATCGTGTAGAAGAGGTTAAAGCCTACTTCCCAGGTCCCGTGTAAAGATTCCAAAATTGGTTGGAGGTAAAAGCAGTGAGAACCCAGTAGAGACTTCTCCGCCTGAGTGCATCGGGGGCTCTGCTGTCCCGGGGTCCCACTCCCTCTTGTTGTGGAGGAGGGACGGCCAGTGCATGGCGCCCAGCAGGGACCCGTATCACCCCCAGAAGGAAACATGCGGTTGCTGGTGCAGATTTCTCCGGTGGCCCCCACCTTGCTGTGGGGATCATCTGGGCTTCCACAAGATGGAAGAAACTGGAATTCTCAGGCCGCCACTCCAAACAATTACTCCAAACCTCAGTAGATTTTGCTTACGAAATAAACTTTGATTGTTCTAAGCCACTAAGATTCTAGATTTTGTGAAGGCAGCACAATCTAGTTTTTCCTGATCAAGGTTTTCATGCCCCCCTTTGGGAGGATGTTAATGTAAGCGGGAGTCCTCAGGGAGTAGCCGAGCCCCGTGAGGAGGAGCTTGGGTTGTTCATGGTGTCAGCGGAATTTCCAAGTACATAGAGAGCCTTACGAATATTTTAGGTACTCATGGTTCAGAGGCAGGCAGTTCTCGACTCAAGAATTTGGAAAGAACTGTCACCTCCCCTTTGGCCAAGGCTCCCCCCTTCTAATAAACATTTTGATATTGATGTATATATAACATAAATACAGAGAAATGCGCAAATATTAGTGTTCCTATCACTGAGTTATGACAAAGTGAACAACCCCATGTAACTCTCACCCGGGATGAAGAAATAGAACGTCACCAGGGACACAGCAGGCCCCCTCATCCCCGATCACCGCTCAACACTGTGTCAGCTTAGCTCACTAGAATCAGAGCCTAAAACAGGAATATTTCTGCAGGGCCATTGGGGAAGGGGGGCTCTCAGGAGAAGAGTGGGAAAAACATGTTAGAGCAGAGAAACAGCTACAGAACGTGGTCTCAGATTGCTCTGATCTCATGAGCAAGGGCTCTGGAGCAAAACTTGAATCAGAGTTAGTCCCACCATGAGGCAAAGGGACCAGGCTTTTGTACTCATGTGTCAATCAGTCCTCAGTTGAGGTCTGGTTTGGGGGAGGGGCATAGCTCCCGGGCAAGATGGCTCCCATTTGGCAAAGAAATGGGACAAGTGGGAACAGCAAGCCGCCGCCGACCCCCAAAGCAGCCAGGAGGGCGAGTGCCCTGGTGCTAACGGGGGTCTGGAGACACGACCGACTGCAGCCACTCTACATTCTCTATTTCCCAGAGGCAACCACCGTGCTAACTTGGAACCTCTGAGATGGAACCTGCCTATTTTTGAATGAAATTAGATCAAGTTTATATTCTCCTGTATCTACCTTGCTGCGTTCAACATCACGTTTCTGCACTTCATTCACGGGTGATGCACCTTGATTTCTTACCATTTGGGTTTTTTTTTTTTAATAAATAATGCTGCACTTATGTAGGCATTTCTGTTGGTTTTATACCTAAGAGTGCCCTTGCCGAGCCATGGAGGTTCTCAGTGCACGTGACTTCTGCAGATCTTCCCTTGGCCTCCTGTCCTTCCAGCCACAGCAGCAGTGACTGGTTCTCTCCAGGTTTGAAACCAGCTTCTAGCCTTCTAGCTGCTCTCATCGGGCCTGTACTTTCTGCTCCAGGGTTCATGTGCCGTTTATGTTGGTGCTGAGTCCAGCTCTGCTGTGGAACTCACTCAGAACTCATGCACAAGCACCTACAAGCGAGAAGATCAGACGCTGGTGGAGCCATCATTTTACCAAATGTGAGATGAATGAATAAATGTGTCTCCCTCTCTTTCCCTAGAGAGATGTTCCTAAGATGTATTTCAGGTGGGTCCTCAGACGGTCCCATTCTAAGCAAGACGTTTCTCATCTCTGCCTGGCTGGCAATCCGTCTTTGCATTGTCTACCCCCCTTTCCCTGTTTGGTCTCCCCAACCCTCAACCCACCCCTCTCTCTGGATCACATGCCTCAGTGGTACTTACCCTTAACATTTCGTCTCAGGCTCTGCTTTCTAAAAATGCCAGATTAAGCTAATTTTTGCTAGAAGTGGAGTAGAGATAACCCTTGGTATCCCCGTGTCATCACAGTTACCAAGACTCTAATCTGTGGTTGGTTGTGAAGAAATAGAGGTGAACGATGAATAACGGGTCATCAGGTAGCCGTGACAGATGACATGAGGGAGTTGGGGTTATGGGAAGTGTGGAGTGGTCTTGTCAACCACACTGGGAATTTGGTAGAAAGAAAGTCATTCGTTCAGGGCAGCTAAGTCATCCCAGCGACTGCCCCAGACATGATTACTCTCCTGGAGCAAATCGATCCAGCTGCAGAATCTCAGCATGGAGGGATTCAGGAGGAATGGTTGAAGATTTCCCCTATTTTCTATGAGCCCAGCTGCACTGAAAAGTATACCATTTGCTTGTTTGCGTTTTGGTTTGGTTTTAAGCAAAAGTCTAGCTTTTCTAATTGGAGGCTTTGGGGAGAATTTAGCCCCAAACGCTACAATAAGGAGAAGTAGTAGCTTTTTTTCTAGACCTAGTCCAGGTGTCTCGAAGAGGCAATGTGCTGGCCAACTAATTGTAGTGAGGGCAGGAGATCTGCTTCACCACTCAACTCTGAGATTTTAAGCAAACGACCCGGACTTTTCTGAATCTTCATCTCCTACCTGTGACAGGAAAACTAGTGCAAACTCCCAGGGTCTTCCTGAAGACGGACAAGGCCACATCGCCCAGCACAGAACCTGCCCCATAGAAAATATTGAAGAAATGATTGCTGTGTTTTCTTTCCCACGTCCTCCAAAGCCCAGAATTTTTCATCTTTGTTACTCTCCTCTCTCACAGGTTTCTTCCTACCAAAAAAAAAAAAAAAAAAAATCCCACCATACTGGTGAACCAACCCAACAATGAATCCGAATCCAAACTGAAAATATAGTAACATTATTTTGTGTATCCAACTATTATGAATAATAATGGCTATTATAGGTCACCATACATAATCACACTTTCTAATATTTACAGTAAGCACTAAAGCCACGATTCTGAGATAGGTCTAACCCCTGCTTTGACAATTTGTCTCCTTAGTGGATAGTCGTTTTCATGGCAAAAACTTGTGACCTAAAATCTTCACCTGAATTACTAGGAGAGAAATAAAACGGGTAAAAATTCAGCAGTAGGCTGTGTTCCCATACTGAAGCAATCAATGTGGTATTAAAAGCATGGGAAAGGAAGTCTCTGGCTTTGCACGATAACCCCAACCTGTAACAAGATCAGGGTTTCTTTTCTTTTTTTTTTTT